CTCTTTTAGTCACTTTTGAGAGTATTACATTTGTTTTATATATGTAATAGATTAAACAATCCAATCAAAAGGCAGAGATTGTCAGACTAGATAAACAAGCTCCAACTATAGGCTGTCTACAAGAGGCACATTTTAGATTCAAAGATACAAACAAGATGAAAGTAAAAGGATGCAAAAAATATGTCATGACAAAGAGCAACCATGAGAAAGCAGGGGTGGCTGTACTAACAACAGACAAATAAACTTTAAAACATTATTGTTAGAGATAAATATCATTTTATAATTATAAAAGGATCAACCTATCAGGAAATTATAACAATTATAAAAATATATGTACCTAGCAACAGAGACCTCAAACACATGAAGCAAAGTCTATCAGATTCATGGGAAGAAATAGATAGTTCAACAATAATAGTCAAAGACCAGCTATTCCACACTTTCAATATTGGATAGAACAACTAGGTGGAAGATCAACAGGAATAGAAGACTTGAACAACAATATAAACCAATTAGACCTAACAGACATCTTCAGAACACTCTACCCAATAACAGCAGAATATATATTCCTCTCAAATGCACATGGAACACTCTTCAGTATATACACATGCTAGGCTATAAAATAAGCTTCAATACATTTAAAAGAATTAAAATAATACAAAGTATGTTCTATGATCACAATGGAGTGAAAGCAGAAATTAATGACCAAAAAATTGAGGACTTTCACAAATATGTGGAAATAAAATAGTACAATCAGAAATAGCCAATGTGTCAAAGAAAAAATCACAAGAGACACTAGAAAATACTTGGAGATTAATGAACATGAAAATGTAACATATAAAAACTTATGGGATGTAGCTAAAGCAGTTCTTAGAGAGAAATATATAACTCTTTTTGCCTCTATTAAAAAAAGAACAAAATCTTATATCAATAACCCAATGTCTCACCTTAAGTCACTAGAAAAGAAGAGAAAACTAAGCCTAAGACAAGCAGAAGGAAAAAAAAGTAAAGATTGGAGTGGAAATAAATGAAATAGAGATAGAAAAACAATAGAAGATGCTTGATTCTTCAACTCCCCCATCCCAAGAACTTTAACTTGATCACATCTGCATAGATTCTTTTTTCCACATAAGGTAACATTTACAGATTCTAGGAATTAGGATTTGGATATCTTTGGGGGCCATTACTTAGCCTACTAGAGCTACAATCAAAATATAGATAATAAGTGTTGGTGAGGATGTGAAGAAATTGGAATTCTCATACACTGTTAGTGGGAATGCAAAATGGTACAACCACTTTGAAAAACAGTCTGGCATTTCTTCCAATGGTTAAACATATAGTTACTGTATGACTCAGCAATTCCACTCCTATGTATGTACTCAGAAGAATAGAAAACATGTGTCCTCACAAAGCCTTGTACACAAATGTTCATAGCAGCATTACTTGTAATAACCAAAAAGTAGAAACAACTCAAATGTCTATCAACTGATGACTGGATAAACAAAATGTATTATATCCATACAATGAAACATTATTCAGGAATAAAAAGAAATGAAGGACTAATTCAGGCTATAGCATGGATGAACCTTGAAAACATTATGTTAAGTTAAAGAAGCCAGTCACAAAGGACTACATACTGTGTGATTCCATTTATATGAAATGTCAAGAAGAGACAAACCTACAGAGACAGAAAGTAGATTAGTGGTTGTCTAGGGCTGAGGGAGGTTGGGGAATTGTGGAGTGATAGCTAAGGGGTATGGGGTTTTTTCTTGTGGTAACGAAAATGTTCTGAAATTGATTGTGCTGATGGATGCATAACTTTGTGAATACACTAAAAAAAATTGAGTTGTATACTTTAAATGGGTGAATTGTATGGTATGTGAATTGGATCTCAATAAAGTTGTTTTAAAAAGTGTATGGTCTTTCAGTGTCTAACTTCAAAATACTGCTTGAATGTATTAACTAAATGTACGTTGCTAAGAAAATAGACTGAAATCCAAGAGAAAGTACAGATTCAGATGAGTACATTGACACAATCATTTGTGGGGCAAGTGAGGCCATGAGCTTCCCAATGGCTATGGTAGTCAGCCTCCAAGGAGCCCCTAATGATTCTTATCTCTTGGTATTCACACTCTTGATAGTCCCCTCCCAAACTGCACCAGGGTTGGTCTGTGTGACCAATAGGATGTGGCAGAAATAGTGGTACATCACTTCCACAATTAAGTTACAAGACTTTGTGGCTTGCATTTGAGTTTTTACACTTCAATTGGATAAAATAAAAGGAAAATAAACTGCATTGTGATATTTAGACTTCCCCTTATTTCATCTTCTTTTATTCTTTTACCTTATTGATTAACTCTTCTGAGCAAATAAATTCTAATAAGCAAATCAGGAGGCCTGATGTTCTGTAATCCTTTTCAACATTATTCACTGAGAGCCATTTGGAAGGCTTTAGCTTAAAAATTCCATCCAATGGATTGTAATTGATATGTGGAAACCAATATATTGAAAGAGAAAAACAAAACAATCTCCTACCATTGTACATGCATTCTAATGTTGATAAAATCATTGAGTTGCCTTATGTAGTCCAAGATTAATACATCTATTACAATAGGTGCAGAAGTTTACTTTTAATATACCTTTTCCAAGAAAGAAAGTTGGGAAAGAGTTGGGCAATTTGGAAGGCATATTAACTATTTACAGGCAGAAAAATGTCCTCTCCCTTCTCCTTTGTCCATCTCCTCTGTCCTCAAGTCCATTTTCACAGTGATTTTACTACATAGAAGCTGAACAAACATTTATTCAGAACAGCAACAAACAGTATCATGTCAGTTACCATAATAGCTCACAATTAAAGTATTTAACTCATCAAAGGAGTTCTTGGTAAAGCAATGGCCTAAGAAAGGTGTGGGCCACACAGTTCCGAATATCTCTATGAATTTTTTTTTAAAAAAAGACAAATGCCCATTTACTTCATGTGAATTCTGCCAAAGCCAATGAATTTCTGAAAGTCCCTCTTTGTTTTGCACTACTTGCTCACCTTCAAGTGTACTACTACCCAGTAAGAATGAATAAAGTGTGAGTAATGCGCAGCCATACTGAATTCCTTTCTAATGGATGCCTATGATGCAGGCATTAAAGGTAGATTCATTCTTTAACTCATCTAATAAATGTTTATGAGCACCCAATACCATGGATATATCTGAAATTTTGGCCCCTCTAACATTTATTTCCAAATTTTAAGGCACAACAGGATATAGTTAAAGGAATTTTCCCTTGAAAAATTTATCTTTATCAGTGTTATTAATGATTTGGATCAATTTGCATCATACATAAGTCTGAATGCATTTTTTTTCAAAGGAGGAAGTGACAAACATCACATTTTGCAGTTATTTTACTCTGTAAAAAGCAGTTCATTTCTGTCCTCCAACGCAAATGAAAGACTTAGAAGATTGTCATTGAAGACAGTCTCTTGTACACAAACTGTTCTGAATTATACAGATGAAAAAAACTTTCAAATTTAGAAAGAAACATACATATTTAGATATTAGGAAATTTATTTCTAACAAGTAGGTTTATTATTTTTTAAAGGGAAATTCTGCACATTGTATGTTATCTTGTACTTTTCTGTCAAGCACCAACCAGTTTGCAGCTACATATTTATCTGAAAGGTCATTGATTTAATGATGGTCTCACTGACTAGACTTAAGTTCCACGAAGATAAAGACCATGACTCTTAAGATGACCACTATATCCTTGATACTTACATGAGCTCCTAGTACTTACTTGACATTCAAAAAATGTTGATTGAATGAGTGAATGAATGAAAGACCCTAAGAATAGATAATATTATGGAAGAGCATCAGTGCTTTAGAAGAAATTGTTCATAATCTGGAACCAAGCCTGTTGGTAATTTTAAAAATAAAAGTAAAAAAATACAAATTCACTCGGGGGAGCCATTTTAAGTGTCTTTCTAGCCAGGATGTGCCCGGCCGTTGGCTCTTGAACCTGAGTGTGTGGGTTCATACGTGCAAATGAGCTTGTTCTGGCCCTGAGGCATCATGAGGCAGGCTGCAAAGTCCATGCTATGACGGTGAGTCAGTCTGTGTACGCTACAGACTCATGATTACAAGGCAGCCTGTCGGGCTTATCACAAGGAGAACAGTAGCACAGTGAGCTCTGACTAATTCTTCACGACTGCCCTCTGTTCAGAGCACCACACCACTCTTCCATAGAAACTCAACCACTGAGACTGGCGGCCCCTGCTCCAAGTCCTGTAGCATACTAATGAAATGCCCCTTAGAGAGAGCCGGCTGAGGATCAAGTGAGTCATCAACCACAGTCAAGAAGCTGAGGAACAGAAGGGAGTTAGCAAAAAAAAAAAGGAAGTCTTGGATATGGGACACAACAAGGACTCAAGTGAAATTCATGGGTCAACTTCCTAGTAGCAATAACTATTGGTAGTGTCATCCTCAAGCTTGTAGTCTAAAAAGAGGTTAAAATTGGGTGATGTATTTTTTTTTTTGAGGAAGGTTGGCTCTGAGCTAACATCTGTTTCCAATCTTCCTCTTTCTTTTTTTTCTCCCCAAAGCCCCAGTGCATAGTTGTATATCCTAGTTGTAGGTCATTCTAGTTCTTCTATGTGGGGTGCTGCCACAGCATGGATTGATGAGCGAGCACTGTGTAGGTCTGCACCCAGGATCTAAACTGGCAAACCTTGGGGTGCAAGTGCACGAACTTAACCACTTGGCCACAGGGCTGGCCCTTGGGTGATGTAATTAGTGGCCAATTTCCAATTCCATTTTTTGTTAGGATTTGAAAACCTGTTAGGATAGGAAGAACCTCGGGGCAGAGTAATTTGTAGACATATTGATAAACTTATGTTTCTCTTCTCTCTGTGTTAGATACCACCCCAGCTCAGTCAATAAAGTCCTCTTTACACATTTTGAATTACAATTTAAGATATGAGCAAAAAATGGAAAAAGTAAAAAATATCAGCCTACCCACAACGTGTTGCATTTGTCACGTTCTCGTTGAGGGAGCTGTTGATCCACACTATGGTGTTATTCACACACGCTTTTCCCGGGATCTTGAGTTCTTGTAATTCAACATCATAGTCAACAAAAGCATCTGTCATTGTGCCAAAAATGAGTAGCACGCCTGGATAGGCTAGTCCATGGAGAAATGCACATAAAGCTCCCACAAACATCAGCCAAATGTCACTTGTTGAAGAAAATCGAAACTTGAAAAACAAAAGGATTCACAGGTAATTTACGGGTGAAAGGCAGTAGAGGTCGGAGGACTGCTGAATTTTAGTTACTAGATTCTGATAAATAACAACCAACACCAAATTTTATGGGCATCATCTTAATTGAACAGTCGAGTTCTCACTAATTATATTGAAATAAATGATCATCAATTATCTAAGACATTAGACTCTTACATTGCTAATTCATGGTATTTCTTTCCTAGCCTCTGAATTCATCCTTTTTACCTCAAGAGCTTACTTTCGTTCTTGGCTATTCATCCACAACTTGAGGGAGAAACAATCACTGGCACTGATGTCATCGCCATGTAAATGTACTGTGTGGGCCATTCCGTGAAAGTGTAAGGTGGCTCCCAGAACTGATACTGACAATGAAGAGTGCCTACTTTTGCCTAGAAATGCTTCCACCCCATGTAAATTTGGAGAAAATGCCTATACTCCGAAATTTCTAAAGACTTTAAGAATAAATATACATGATCTGATTGCTATGATGGTTTTCCTTACTAAAATGATCATTATGGGCTTAGCAATTATTTTCCAGGACACTTTCTGATCTATCAGATAGCATTTGTGTGTTTAATCAGCAATATATTTCTAGTTGCTATTCAGCATGTTATCACAGAGATAAGCTTTAAGAAAAAGTGGTCACTGTAGTTAAAAACCTGCCAATATGACTCAAGTTTTAACACTTTCTCCATGATCTGAACAATTCACAGTTGCAAAACCTATGTCATAAATCAACACAGTTTTATTACCAATTGAAAGAAGCCAACTTGACTGCTGTTACTTTTCTTCTCATCTTGTAACCTGAGAAGAAAAACATAGGGATTTACAGACCATCTTTTCCAGAACAATGAGAAATTCTGCCTAGGTGGTGATTTCTTTTTTAAAGATTGGCACTTGAGCTAACAGCTGCTGCCAATCCTCTTTTTTTTCTTTCTTTCTTCTTCTCCCTGGAGCCCCCCAGTACATAGTTGTATATTCTAGTTCTAGATCCTTCTGGTCGAGCTATGCGGGATGCCTCCTCAGCATGGCCCAATGAGCAGTGCTAGGTCTGAGCCCAGGATCCAAACCTGCAAAACCCTGGGACACTGAAGCAGACCGTGCAAATTTAACCACTCAGCCATGGGGCCGGCACTAGGAGGCGATTTTTTGAGTCATTCTTTAGTAAGAAAGAAAGTCTCCACTGGCTGAGAAATTCTTGCCAAACCTGGCATCTTAAAAACAAGCTTTTATTCTTGAAATTTACTTCTTCTAGAGACTTCTGTATAACTATATCTCATGTTCAGCAGAGATTCAATGAGGTTTTTCTGAGAGGTATTGAAAGAAAATAAAAATGCTCTAGGTCTGGCCCAGGGTTATGGTGGTTAAGTTCACACACTCTGCTTCAGCAGTCCACAGTTTGCAGGCCCAGATCCCAGGCATGGACCTACACACCACTCATTGAGCCACGCTGTGGCAGCATCCTACAGATAAAATGGAGGAAGATTGGCACAGACATTAGCTCAGTGACAGTCTTCTTCAAGCAAAAAGAGGAAGATTGGCAACAGATGTTAGTTCAGGGCCAATCTTCCTCACCAAAAAAAAAAAGTGCTCTGTACTTCCGGTTACAGAAACAAATAACTATTGGACATCAGCCTTTACCCTCGACCTACTTCTACCTACATTTTCTTGTGGGTAAATTAAGGTGGTTGAATTAGCTGATTTAAAGCTTCCTTGTAGCCCTTAAAAATTTGACTACATAAAATAGTATTGATATGATGAAAATTCAGAAAAACTCCCAGACTTCCCATAAAATCGTATTTCCTTAGTATTTCTTATTCATTTCATTTCTCATAAAGTTGTGCTTAATCCTTCTTTGACCTTCTCAACTCCAGGGATCTCTACTTCACCTGAGTCATCTGTTCATGGACATATGTTGGACCTTGCTTTTACTGGGAACCACTCTACTACATTGGCACTCTGGAACTGCCCATGTACCTTGTTTTAGCACTTCCTTCCTCCTTCCACACTTATTTGTCATCTCAGTTGAGACCTGCAGTCCCTTAAACCCTTCATTTACTTACAGTTGCTACACTCCATGAAGATTTTGCCTCCTTCTCCACGCATCTCAGGTCCCACTGCTTGCCATTTGGACCACACTCTCACCATCATCCTCAATCCTTTTCCCCAAATGCTTCCTTGGAAAGTCCATCTCTGCATCCACCCAGCTGTTTGCCCTTCTCCTCCTGAAGCCGGCCTGCTGGGCCTGCTGGAGACAACCTCTCCACCATGTGAACTGATGCCGACACATGCCATGCCTGGCACTCAGCTGCCCTATGCTTCTCTTCTAGCTCAGAGTAGAATGCCAAGTTCCTGCTGAAACGTCCAAGGCCCTCCACAGTCTGGCCAGTTGGCTCTCTGACCTTGTCTCCTCCTACCGTACTCCAGTTCTCACCACCCAAGCCACCTGGCCTCTTTGCTGACCTTTGTCCATGCCAAATTTGTTCCCACCTCTGGGCCTTTGCACTTGCTATTTTCCTCTCATCAGAATGCTCTTTCTTCAGATACCTGCATGGCCAACTCCCTCACCTCCTTCAGACCTTCTCTCAAAAGTCAGCTTCTCAGTGAGGCCTTCCCTGGCCAAAGTCTTTAAAATTTCAACTTTCCTCCATACCATTTTATAACTCCATTCCAATTTTTACTTTTTCTTCCTAGAAAGAAAGTGTTAGATTATCCCTAGCTACTATACTATATATTTTATTTATTTATGGTGATTATTGTGTCTCCCTCACTAAAATGTAAGCTCCTCAATGGCAGAGGTATTTGCCTATTTTGGTCTTTTCTGTATCCTCAGCACCTATAATAGTGTCTGACTACTGATAGGCACTCAATCAATACCTGTGGAATGAGTGAGTAAATAAGTATTGTCTCCATCATTAGCTTGATCCAACAACACTGTACTTCCTCCCACATCCCCACGGATTGCTCCCATTCTCCCCAGCAGATGTATCAAACTTTCACTGTGATCTTCTCATTCTACATTACCGCACCCATCAGAAAATAGATTCAATTCCTCTAAAAACCAAAGAATTCACTCCACCTTCCTGCTCATCCTCTTTTTACCATTTATCTGAGCCACATCTATTTTCATCTTCTCCCTACCCAGTGAGAAAAGTGTGGTTCTTCTGGGCACAGGCTGACCCTACCACTCCTAGTCCAAAGCTAATGTTACCACATCCAATACCTCCCTCTGCCGTGAATTACTTAAGGTTCCTGAAATACCTTCAACCTCTCCCTTTCACCATCTTTATTTCAGGAGCTTGCCCTTCTGTCTCCCAAGTTAGACTCCATCTAATCCTGCTCAAAGTATGATTAGCTGACATTTGTTTTATATGAGGATTTAAACTCTTAAACTAAAGATAAATATCTAATAATTAAATTTTAGATGTCTACTATTTGCCTATGGGAAGAATTTGGGGTGTAGGGACCTGCCCTGTGCCCATGAAATCAAACTTGTCCAACTTTGCCTCTGCCTGTTTCGATGAGAAATTCTGTGGTGTTCCCAGATGCATAGGGGAGATTAGGACCTAATCCAGAAGGGATATTCCAAAAGGTTTTTGAAATCAAATTACAGTAATGTTTTAAGAGAAAAAGAATGGATTATCTATACCACTTTATAGGAAGTACAATATGCACAAAAATATTCTCTCTGCTTTGTGCCTTTTATAGGAATATTATGGAGTTATTCTAGAAAGGAGGTTGTGTTGTCAAAATAGTCACTTACCTTGAGTTTTTATCATTGCTATCTGTCAGGACAAAAACAATGCATAAAGCAGTTAATAACAATGACAAAGTGCAACATAGTCATTAACAATTTTGCTCTGGAAAAACATTCTTATAAGTTACTTTTATTTGTGGAACATTGCAAAGTGATTATTTGCTTTTACTCCTTTCTCTCATATTCTCTCTCTCCCCACAGTATAGAAGAGGACATTCTTTCAGGTTCAGGACTGCTGGCTTGACTACATTTCTGGACTTTTCTCCAAGATATAAAATATTTGTATCTTCTGACACCAACTGGAGACCAATATTTCTAAATTAGCTAAAGAAAATCTGATTTTTTGAATTACCAAGTAAAACGAATATTTATTTATTGTTTGGTTCTTTAGAAACATGAGAATTTATCTGTTTAAAATTTAGACCATAAACTAACTAGACAATAAGAGGTCAATGACACATCCACGCCAGTAGAAGCCATAAGATTAAGCCACATATTATTTTCTCCAGCATAGATCAGAGCAGATGGAGGGTAGGAAGTAAAAGTGGAGGCTCAGGGTCATGAGTGTAGGGAAGCTAAGGTGCTAATGTCAACCATCACCATGGGACAGCACATCCTGATTCCCCTGGCATTTCAACTTAATTTATTTCAAGTAAGAGTAAAGAGGCATTATAGTGTAGACAGAGATTAATATTTTGGGTGTGGGAATCAGACAGAATCGAATTAGGATTATGGCTCCATTAATTACTAGTGAAGTGATTTTTGCCAAGTTTTTAAAAATTTATCCAACTCTCAGTTTCTTTTTATGTAAAATCTAAAATCACAAGATTTGTTTTCAAAAATAATGACTACTCTGAACCAGCTGTGCTCACTACATGCTGGGTATGAGTGTGTTTTTACCTGGCTCTTTCAGACATTCCATTACATGGATTCTAGGAGCAAACGCCCATGCATGTGTAAGAAACGTGTCCAGTAAGGATCCTACATAGGATTGCTGATTTTCTCTGCCCCTTAAAACTTCGCTAGCTTGTTCCAACCCCTTTGTGCAAGAGATGGTGAGAGAAAAAGGCCACTTACGTGATCCATCTGACTCAAAGCCATAATTCTCCTCTCCAAATTTCTTTACACTGCGAAGAATTACTGAGTCAGACATGGTGATTGCAATCTGCAGGCAATAACCCTATAAAAGAAAACAAGACCAAAAAAAAAAGAATTATTGCAATTATTATCTCTTTTCTCTGTAATCAAAGTAGCCAAATGAAAGAATAATTTGGTTCAAGAAATAACCTTCACTAACAATCACAGACAAAAGCAGGTTTTTTTAGTTGGTTAGTAACTCCGTGAAACAGTCTAATTATTAGGAAAGATAAACTCAAACATTGATAATGATTTCTTCTGGTCGATGAATGGATAGTTGTTTTTTATTTGTTGTTCTTTCTGCTTATCTGTGCTTTATGTATTTAATTAATTATTTATTTTTTAACGAGTAAAAATAAAAACCGCTAGAAGGGCACAACCAACTGGCAACATTCTTGGGTTAGTGTAGCTGACCAGCAACGCCCAAATAAATACTGCTGGGTTGCCTTAGTGCTCCTTCGTAAATGCAGCCCCTGCATCCAAGACATGGAGAGCCCAGCAGGGACCAGGGGAACTGCTACCCGATGCATTTTATAAAACAAGCGTGACCTTGACATAAAAACACACAAGATGGTTATAAGAAAAAAATAGAGTTACTTTTGAAAATAGACTTAAAAATTCTAAATAAGATGTTAAATATAATTCATCAGTTTATGAAAAAAATATAATGAGCAACATTGATCCCAGCAATGCAATGATTGCTTAGTGTAAAATATTTGATCATTTTGATAGATGTGGAAAAAAATTTAATAAAAATCAATATCTATTCCTGATTTTTAAAAGCCTATGAAATTAGAAAAATCATTATTTTACAACCCCAATGAATAAATTTTGGGCAATGATCAGCAATGAATTGTTGTATACAGCAGAGTCAATTGCAATTTCTAAGGACCCTGTGTACAGGAGAGGGGAACACTGCCTGGTCTTCTTGCACCATCCTCTCATCTTCTTGTGCTGTATCAGAGAATGTTCAGCACCTATTCATAGGGTTTTTGTGGTCAATTTTTTCAGAAGTGAGTGACCAGGTCCTTCTTCCTAGTCTGTCTGAGTCTAGAAGCTCTACTGAAACCTGTCCACCATGGGTGATCCTGCTAGTATTTGAAATACCAGTGGCACAGCTTTCAGCATCACAGCAACATGCAGCTGCCACAGTGCGACAATCAACAGATGGGTGGTGTGGTTCCCCGACAAGGAAAGGACCTTGGAGGTGAGAGCACCAAATCTTAACCACCAGACCACAAGGACTGACTCAAACATGATTTATAAAAAATAACTTGCAAAAAATAAATTCAATATTAAGAAGCAGAGTGGGAAACATTATTTAAGTAGTTTATGAGGTAAGTAAAAATTAAAAGACAAAATGAACCAGATTCAAAATTCTTTTATTCAACAACAAAATTTGTTCAATATAAGTAGTATTATATTCAGAGACTGCAATGTTTGCTGGTTTTATCATTTTTGAAATTTTAACTCTCAATTTTTTTTCAAGAATAAAAGAAAGAAATTCTTTGAAAATAAGAAAATAATAAAATGACTAACAACAGTTGTAATATTGCATCTCTTAATTTTAAAATAAGACTTTTTAAAACAAATCAGTCTCCAATTATTTTTTTCTTGGCTTAGCTCTTTATTTAAAATGGTTTCTTCCCACTGGTGTGCAAGTACTTGGCAGCACTTAGAGGCCAATGGTGAAGTGTCTTGCTATGAACTTTGACATCTCACAGACCCTGGTACTGCCTATGGCTTCACTCTACGTTGTTGGACGTGCTTTTTAACCTCTCTCCAGGCCTTAATTTCTCCATCTTTCAAGTCAGGGAGCAGCGGTGACCGTGCTAAAATCTGCCAAACTGCTGTGAAAATGAAATGAAATTGTGTCTGTACATCAGCTGGCAAAAAGGGAGAAGGCTGCTGAAATTCCCTCTACCCTTCAAGCTTAGAGATGGAGCCGCCCCCTGCCCCATCTCCTAACCCTCCCTTCTGGGGTCATTAATAGTAACACACTTCATATTAAGGAAGAAAATGCTGATCAACGAACCTACTCTCTTCACTTTCCCTCTCTGTCCTCTCAGCAATTCTGTACACTAGATTTCATGTTAGGTTTGCTTACATTTTACTTCCTTCTGAATATAGTGATTTTTGTGATTTCTATTTTAATACTAAAAAGTAACATTCTCAAAGATGAAAATCCAGGCATAGCAAGGATTTCTATCTCATAGCATTGTCAATGCCCTTCAGCCAAAGACCACCAGGAGCACACCTGTAATTGAACAATCTGGATTTATTACTTATTGCAGGGAGAGACAACACACTGTGGGGGATGATAGGGTGTCTCGGTTATGGGGTATTAGGAAGAAAATCTATTACAGGACTTGGGTTTTAGCTGGGTGGTTTCGGAGAGCGTCCAAGGAAGTGGGGGTTTGCTCCAGATTCTATGCTGTCAGAAAGCTCAAGCAATTCTATGAATGAACACAGAAATAACAGTTACTCACTTAGCAAGACAAAGAGATGTTTAGTATTTTGAGGATTGCACAATGACCTTGTTTTTGCCTGTGCTTGGACAAAATTATGAACTGGCCTTGCTTTGTCATATTTTATCCTGCTCTTAGAGTGACCTTGTCTGAGGTTGGTGCGATGGTTAGTTTTATGTGTCAATTCGAGTGGGCTAAGGGTTGTCCAGATAGCTGGTAAAACATTATTTCTGGATGTGTCTGTGAGGGTGTTTCCAGAAAAGATTAGCATTTGAATTCGTAGAAGATCGCCCTCACCAATGCGGATGGACATCATTCATCCAATCCTTGGAGGGCTTGAATAGAACAAAAATCAGGAAAACTGAGGGCAGAGGACCTGAATAGAAATTTTCCAAAGAAGACATCCAAATGGCCAACAGGTACATGAAAAGATGCTCAACATCACTAATCATCAGGGAAATGGAAATCAAAACCATGATGAAATATCAACTTACACCTGTTAGAATGGCAAGCGATAACAAGTGTTGGCAAGGATATGGAGAAAAGGGAATCCTTGAACACTGTTGGTGGGAATGTAAATTGGTTCAGCCACTATGGAAAACAGTATGGAGGCTCCTCAAAAAATTCAAAATACAACTACCATATGATCCGCCAATCTCTCTTCTGGGTATATATCCAAAGGAAATTAAAACAGGATATCAAAGAGATATATGCACTCTCATGTTTATTGTAGCATTATTCACAATAGCCAAGACATGGAAACAGCCTAAGTGTCCATCAACAGATGAATGGATGAAGATGTGGTGTGTGTATATATATACACACACACAATGCAATATTATTCAGCCAGGAGAAAGAACGAAATCCTGCCATTTGCAAAGACATGGATGGACTTTGAGGGCATTGTGCTTAGTGAGATAAGCCAGACAAAGATAAATATTGTATGATATCACCTATATATGGAATCTAAAAAATTTGAACTCATAGAAACAGAGAGTAGCATGGTGGTTACCAGAGGTTGGGGCATGGGGAAGCTGGGGAAATGTTGTTAAAGGATACACACTTGCATCTAGAAGATGAGTAAATTCTAGAGATCTAATGCACTGCATAGTGATTAGACTCAACAGTACTGTATTGCATACTTCAAAATTGCTAAGAGACTAGATCTTAAATGTTCTCACCACAAATAAGAAGTGATAATTATGTGACTTGATAAAGATGCGAGCTAAAGCTATGGTGGTAATTATATTGCAATATACAAATGTGTCAAATCAACACATTGTACATCTTAAATTTACACAATGTTATATGTCAATTGTATCTCAATAAAAAAAATTAACTAATTTTTTCTAAAGACTGAGGAAGGGTGAATTTACTTTATTTCTTTAGTTGGGATGTCCATCTTTTCCTGCCCTGGGACATTGGAGCTCCTGGTTCTCGGGCCTTCAGACTCAGATTGGAACTTAAATCATTGACTCTGCTGGTTCTCAGGCCTTTGGATTTGGACTGGACCTATACCACCGGCTTCCCGGGGCCTCCAGCTTGCAGCTGGGACTTTTCAGCCTTCATAATCCCATGAGTCAATCTCTTATAATAAATCTCTCTCTGCATATCTATATGAATCACTTCGGTTCTGTTTCTCTGGAGAATGCTGACTAATACAGTTGGTATTCTTTGAGATTGTTTTTTTCTAATAGGAGAATGACATGGCTTAGCTGAGAGTGCCAGGCCAGCTACTGAATATCTGCGGCTGCCCTTTTGTTTGTTTCTTTTCTTTCTCAGCATTCAGTGCATCACCCTGAACTTTGATAGTCCCTGTTACCTTTTGACATACCAAAGAGCAGTACTTCAAAAGATGTATACTCTCTAGCATTACAGGGCATGCATTGGTTGCTCAGTTAGAAATGGAAGCTAGCTGCCTTATCTCTGGCCAGCTCAGAAATGGCAAGGATGACTTTTGAGGCCTTTATGTTGAAAATGTTAATTACTTGAGTGCTCCCACAAAAACAGCAGCAATTTCATAATACTAAATTTGGGAAAATGCAATGAGATACCAAAATTACTGGAAAGAATAAACCAAGGCCTTGCTTATAATATTTTCCAGAAAAGGTGATGTTTCCAGAATTCGATGTTAGATGAATTGCCTCATATTATTACAGGTGTAGAACAAAATTCTGACATATCATTAGACCACGTTTTCTCCCACTGGTTAATTCCTTTTGTGTTAGAGAAGACCTTGGAAAACTCATAAAGCAGATGGTGGAGAATATCTCTGCTAGTCTCTGAAAGCCTGGAAACATAGTGGGAATCTCGTTTTCAGTGATAAACAGATTTGTTTTATAGGGTCAAGAGAGGATATCCCCTCCTCACTTGTATATTCTATAGTTCAAGAGTGCAATGGTGTTTTGTCACGTTATTCTTCCCCATCAATATAAGCAGATGTGACGTCGTCTAATTCTATTCCCTCAGCTGCTATCTATGACAGCTAAGCTAACAATTCGTTCTTGAGTTTCCTGAAGTGTGTGAAAGGTACTTCGGTATCATACATTGCAGAAAACTTTGATTAGGGATTCTTAACAGCTGCCAATAATAAAATTTTACTTCTTGGGGCCAGTGTTGTGGCCGAGTGGTTAAGTTCGCGTGCTCTGCTTCGGTGGCCCAGGGTTTCGCTGGTTCAGATCCTGGGGGTGAACATGGCACCACTCATCAAGCCATGCTGAGAAGGCAACCCACACGCCACAACTAGAAGGATCCACAACTAAAAATATATAACTATGAACCGGGGGGTCTGGGGAGAAAAAGGAAAAATAAAATCTTTAAAAAAAATTTTACTTCAACCAACACAAAAGAACTCAGAGTTGAAAATAATGTACCATGCTATTTCCTTTCACTCTGCCTTTTTGTTTTTTGTTTTTTTTTTTGAGGAAGATTAGCACTGAGCTAACTACTGCCAGTCCTCCTCTTTCTGCTGAGGAAGCCTGGCCCTGAGCTAACATCCATGCTCATCTTCCTCTACTTTATATGTGGGACACCTATCTCAGCATGGCATGCCAAGTGGTGCCATGTCTGCAATCAGGATCCAAACCGGCAAATCCCAGGCCGCTGAGAAGAGGAACCTGAGAACTTAACCACTGTGCCACCAGTCTGGCCCCCACTCTGCCTTTTTATATAGTAAATTATTTTAATCTCTTTGGGAACAGATTGAGAATTTTCAAGGTCTTCCAGAAAAATTGTCTTTCAATGAACTTAAAAGAATCTAGGAGTTAAAGCAGGAAATCAAGATTTTTAAACACTAGTCGGCAGACTTTGGCCACCTAATCATGGAACTCCCCAGGAATTCTTAATTGCCCATGCCAAGACCAGTGTCCCTCTCTGCTAAATGGCATGTGGTCTACAACCTATGTACCACGTTGTGCTTCTGTTTAACTATCCAGGGTTGAAGTTTTCTGTTCTGTGATAAAATGTGTAATCTTATCAAGACATAAACTCATTAGAGGACAATCTCCTGACCTTTATGGATGGACATATCAAAGATTTTTCTACCTTAGAACATTAGTAACAACATTCTGGAAGACCAACGCTGGGGAAGAGAAAGCAGCACCTGGATGGGTCGCCCAAGAGAACCTGGGACATTGACAGACCTCAGAAGGGGGGCTAAGTGAGCAGTGCCACAGGGGACTTGAGGTGTCAAAAGTGGAGGAGATACAGGGCTCTACAAGCCACGCCAGGAGCAAATCAAGGATCCTAAGAGTAGAAAATGTCAGGGCCCACCATGGGACATGACACCAAGGCTGCTAGTGTGACTTTAAGACAGAGGCCTGCAGCACCAGATGAGTGGGTTGACCTTCACCAAAGGCTGGGATCAACACTAGCAACTGGCTCTTGATGCTGCAGGAGAAGTGAAAAAGAAAGAAAGAAAGAAAGGAGGGAAAGAAGGAAGGAAGGAAAGAGAGAGAGAGAGAAAGAGAAAGAGGGAAACCGAGAAAGTGAGAAAGAAAGAGAGAGAGAGAAAGGAAGGAAGGAAGGAAAGAAGGAAGAAAAAGAAAAGAAACAAGTCTGGGTTGAGAAGAGTTCTCCCAGGAGCTGGAATCCTGTCAAGCTGAAGGATATGACTACAATAGCAGCATTTGGCCCACTGCCTGTTTTTATAAACAAAGTTTTATTGGGACACAGTCATGGCCATTTGGGTTTCTTTTGTCGTTGGCTGCTTTGGTGTTACAATGGCAGAGATGAGTAGCTGTGACAAAACCTACACCCACCTCTCCCCACCAATGCCTAAAACATTTACTGTCTAGCCATTTACGGAAAATGTTTGCCGACCCTTGTATTATGAGGTCAGTTCAGTACAGCCCGAAGCCGAGGGAGAAATCCTCTAGATCCTGATTTACCAAACCTAACAATCCTTTGGAGCGCCAGCCCTCCATTCAGCCCAATCCTCATGGAGCTTATAGAGTGGCAGGGAAGACAGGTGGCACGTAAGAAATTATAAGCATGATGACCGAAAGTAAAGAGGAAGCGTGGGCGTCTCCTAGACCCTCAAGCAGAGGACTCCCTTGTCTAGAGAGTTGGGGAAGGCTCTGGAACCAGCGCAGTTAGCATGGGACCTTGAAGATGAAGGCAAGTTAGGCAAGAGAATAAAAGAGAGAAGAGTGTTCCAGGCAGGGAAGAGCACAGGCAAAGACCCAGACCCAAGAGACATGCAAGGACCCAAGGAGGTCCCTTGAGTCTGCGGGAAAGTTGACGGAGCAGCTCTGAAGGATGTGGCTGGGTGATTCCTTGGGGTCTCATAATTCTTAACGTTAATGACTTGGGATCTTATCGCAAGGGTAATAGGAACTAATAAAGGCTTTTAGGTGAGAGAAGGATACGGTCATATTTATGCTTTAAAAAAACCTCAACACTCTGAGAAAGCTTGGGACTTGGGAGCCCACACCCAGAGAAACTAGGAAATCAGTCTGAGAAGGACAGAAATCCCCGCAGGCCAAGCAGGAGCACACCCTCATTCACCAAGGCCAGCAGCATATGCAGCTCATCTCCCTCCCAGGCGTATCCTGAAGGATTGAAGTGACCAAAAGAAACAGGCTGTGTGATGCGACACAGCCAAGCCAACGGTGTCCAGGCTCTTGTCACTTTAGGAGATGACCTCGCCACTCTATCAGGACTCTAGGTTTTGAATTTTCTCTGGGGAGATTTGTTCTGCTTTCCATTTCATTTTCTCCCAAATACTGCTTTTGAAACGTGTTGCTCTTGCTTAGGCTGAATTCTGGAAGAAGAGGCTGAGTTTTTTTCCACATCCAGGCTAAGATGGTTAGGAGGATGTAAATGCCCTAACAGCTGTTGAGGAGCTGGGAGGACAAGAAGTGTGCAAGGCCAGGCTCAGGAGTGGAGGGGCCCTCCCCAGCCCCACATCACACTGTGAATATTCTCCTTGGCTTTTCTCCTGTGAAATCTTCCCCTCTGTAAAACCTCCCAAGGATGCCTGTGCCACAAACTCCCCTTCCCTGAGCTGCTCAGAGAAAAAAAGCAGAACTTTACTCCATCTCAATTGTGACTCTGTGAAGAAAGGCCATTCACGTGTCCCATGAGGTTCACTGTGTATTTCTTTCCCTTCCCCATCAGATGTCGCCTTCAGGGCTAAAGGGGTCCCATTTTATCCTATGCTCTGAGCAAAAAGTAGTCACTTTCTAAGCCACAAATTCCAATTTTTTAAAAAGACTTTAAAATTTCTTTCATTGTTGACACTTAGGGATGTAGGTAGGTTACCTTTGGTATTACCAAACCCAGCAATTGATTTATTTCTCCAATGATTATTAGAGGAGGAAAGAAATATTAACTTATGCTAAGAAGCAAAACAAAAACAAAAGAAGAAAAATATTGATTTACAGATAAGCCAGTTGTGTGTGTCAAAAATGCAGAAAACACTGTCCAGGGATAGGATAAGATGGGGCCCCTTTAGCCCTGAGGGCTACATCTGATGGGGAAGGGAAAGAAATACACAGTGATCCCCATGGGACACATGAATATCCTTTCTTCACAGAGTCACAACTGAGATGAAGAACTAAGAACTGCTCTTCAACAAAATAGAATTTAACGCCAAAGTTACTCAGAGCTCTGCTTTGCCTCTAAATGCATAATTCTTTCATCTTCACAAAGCAACTCACAACTCTAATATGTGATTCCTGCAGTGGAACTCAGGGGTTTTTTAGCGCTTTCAGTGACTTTTAAAACCACAGAGTGAGCAATTTTTTTCTAAAGTACTTCCTAATCCACTTCCAGCATTCATCAGCAAATATCTGTCACCATTCCTCCCAGTAGTAAGATACACAAATTATTCAGGAGGCTTGCAATCAAGTGGGGAGAGGGGCATCTGAACAGTAACTCCTAGGCAGCAAAAGGGAGGCTTCAAATAGGAATAATTAGAGTTATGGAGCGGAGTAGGAAGGTAACTACGTCAGGAGGGGTGGGGGTGCGGGATGTGGCTGCACACAGAAAGGACTTCTATTAAACAAGAGCCTATAAATACGTTAGTACTTTAACAGTTTAATAATAACCACTATTAGATACCAATATTAAGAGTTTTAGATACAATCATTATTATTTGTCTCTAACATGTCGAGAAAGCTATTCTCCCCTCAAAACAGTTAGAAACACTGCACTTTACTCTCAGTCTTATATGTAAATGGTATTTGACCTATGTGTTCAAAGCATCAGCAACATGCAATTTCTACTGGCTAGGAACATAAAAAGGCAATTAGATTCTAGAAACCAATTCTCCCCCTCCAGCCACGCATCCAGAGCTCACATTGTTTAGCATCTAAATTATCGAAAACTGGGAGAATGAGGTAATGATCGTGCCGTTGAAGAAAAGATAGTTGGTATAGTTCTGTATTAAACCAGCAGCAGCTTTGCGGGGTAGGATGTGCAGTTATCGGTGGAAACAGAATCGTCCTTTCATAAAGCTAAGTTAGAAAAGAAGTTCACTGGCATTTTTACTATGGGCAGATTATTCGATCTATTCATCCATTTGCACCACAAAACCCCATACACCGGACACACACATACACACACGCGCACACTCGCATTCTCAAGAGAATTGATGCATAAATAGTATTGCTATAAACGAGATAGCAACCGAGAGTCATCTGTATTGTATGTAATGTTATGAAATCATTAATGCATTCTGCAAGTTCCTATCCAGGCATTATAGTATTCTTTATCATATGAGAGGAGACCAACCGTTAGTGAATGAGAATCACAATCCCCTGCTGCGAGCCTTAGAGGAAATGGGCTTGCAGAAACACAGTCCTCAACTCCTGTAGACAGTATAAGTCACTCACCTGTGAACGGGAACTTGAGGAAGCCAGAAGAAACAACGGACTCCACTGTGGAGAGTCAAAGGGTTTTACAACCTTTTCCGACTTCAGTTTTCATCGTTATAAAGCACTGAACAGAATTCAAGCTTTTTCGAGAACATTATCTATTTGCTTAAGGGTCAACGCCCGGAAGGCCAGCCTGAGCACAGTTCAGTGACATCTGAAGAAAGGTTGAACATGCTTAAAACAATAACCCCAAACACAGAGTGTACTCGGAAGCCCACTGCGAGTACACTTTGCAAAGTGTAGTTTGGAAAGTGCTGACTCACCTTGGAAGGAGAGGCTTTGGAAAGTGCTGACTCACCTTGGAAGGAGAGGCAAGACGGGGGCAGCCAGCAAGAGCACTGGGATTCTGGCTATGTCCAACTCTTCTTCTCAGAGGCCTTTATTTTTGAAAAGTTACTTAAAAGCATAAGAAGACAAAAAAAAAAAAAAAAAAAAACACCTTTAGACTGTTCTCAATTTGAATGATTACTCTTGGAAAATCCTTAGGTTGCAGCCCGTGAGTACATTCTTAGGCGCAGCCCCAGAGTTTCACGAGAACAGATAACCTAAAAGAACACCCGGAACAGCCTTTTGCTGGAAACTCTGAGTGCTCAGATGACCCTTGCACTCTGGCCTGAACAATCGATAACCTCAGGCTCTACCCACCAGATGAAGCCCGTGTGAGTAGAGATTAATGATTTTTTACGAAGTTCAAATTAACAGAAATCCAAATCAAATAAACACATACAGCTTCTCCAATGGCTTTGTGCCGCCGGTATCTGTTCTTCTCCCTTCTTGTTAATCCTTCCATTTTCTCAAATGCTCTTATTTTTTACCTATCTCCCTGCCTGAGCTAACCTTTTGCTAAGTGTGCCTCACTATGATGAATAGCAGCTAAGATTGGTCCAGTCCTTGCTGGGTACCTGGCTCAGTTGAAGAGTTTTCTTTGTACCATCTTATTTGGGCTTCTCAACAACCCTAGGAGGTAGGTGCCATCATCATTATTCCCATTTTATAGCTGAGGAAATTCGAGTATGGAGAGGTTAAATTATGCACCCCAGGTCTTACCACTCATAGGTCTGGAGCCTATGGTCCCGACCACTCTGTGCTAACCTTCTTCCACCCCGTGCTCTGGAAGTCAGTCAATAGGCCAGTGCTTCTCAGTTTGCAAAAAATAAGATCAAATTAAATGAGAAGATCACATTGTCTCCATTTAAAATTTTTCTGCCATAAATTTTCCTTTAAAATTTAGTATCTACTACTGTTTATCTCTATTGGAATCTATATACAAGATGGTTTACGATTTAGCCCCAAATTTTGTGTCGTTATATTTTATGTGTTAAAATTTCAATATGTCAAGGTCAGAAAAGAAAAGAAATTTCTAGATATTCCCTTATCTAAACTGGTTTGAGAAGCCCTGGGATGGGTGGACTTCTGAGTGATAATACTGGGTTTGGTACTTATTAGGACCCAGGAAAAAGATACTTCTAAGACTCATGTCAAAGAGCACACTGCCTATGTTTTCTCACATTCAAGTTTTAAATCCATTTTGAGTTCATTTGGGGGTATGGTATAAGATAATGGTCTACTTTCATTTGTGACCATGGCTGTCCAGTTTTCCCAACTCTATTTACTGAAGAGATTTTCCTTTCTCCATTGTATGTTCTTGATTGTTTTGTCAAAAATTAGCTGTCCAAAGATGTGTGGGTTTATTTCTGGGCTCTCAGTTCTGTTCCATTGAGCTGTGTTCTGTTTTTCTGCCAGTACCAAGCTGTTTTGATTACTATAGCTATGTAGTATATTTTGAAATTAGGGAGTGTGATATCTCCAGTTTTGTTCTTTTTTCGCAGGGTTGCTTTGGCTATTTGGGGTCTTTTGTTGTTCCGTATAAATTTTAGGATTCTTTGTTCTGTTTCCGTGAAAAATGTCATTGGGACTTTGATAGGGATTGTATCGAATCTGTAGATTGCTTTAGGAAGTATGGACATTTTAACCATGCTAATTCTTCCAGTCCATGAGCACACAATACCTTTCCATATTTTTGCGTCTTCTGCAATTTCTTTCAACAATGTTTTGTAGTTTTCAGTTACAGGTCTTTCACTTTCTTGGTCAAATTTATTCTTAGGTATTTTATTCTTTTTGTTGAGATTGTGAGTAGGATTGTATTCTTGGATTTCTCTTCCTGATATTTCATTGTTAGTGTACAGAAATGCAACTGATTTTTGTGCATTGATTTTGTGCCCTGCAACTTTACTGTATTTGTTTATTATTTCTAACAGTTTTTTGGTGGGTTCTTCAGGGTTTTCTATATATAAAATCATGTCCTCTGCCAATAGCTTTACTTTTTCCTTTCCAGTTTGGATCCCTTTTCTTTCTTTCTTTTTCTTCCCTAATTGTTCTGACTAGGACTTCTAGTTCTATTTGAATAAGAGTGGCGAAAGTGGGCATCCTTGTCTTGTTCCTAGTCTTAGGGGGATAGTTTTCAGTTTTTTACAGTTGAGTATGATGTTAGCTGTGGGTTTGTCATCTATGGGCTTTATTGGTTGAGGTACTTTCCTTCCACACCCATGTTATTCAGAGTTTTTTTTTATCATAAATGGGTGCTGTATCTTGCTGTATCTTTTTTGTGTGTTGTCCTTGTTTGGTTTTGATATCAGAGTAGTGTTGGCCTCATAGAACATGTTAGGAAGCATCCCCTCCTCTTCAATTTTTTGGAAGAGTTTGAGAAGGATAGGTATTAAATCTCTTTGAATGTTTGGTAGAATTCATCTGGGGAGCCGTCTGATCCTGGACTTTACTTTTTTGGGAGGTTTTTGACAACTGTTTTGCTTTACGCATTTGGGTGCTCCTGTGATGGGGGCATAGACATTTACAAGTGTTATATCTTCTTGTTAGATTGTTCCTTTTATTATTATGTAATGCCCTTGTTTATCTCTAGTCAGTTTTTGTTTTAAATTTTATTTTGTCTATATAAGTATTGCTACCCCAGCTTTCTTTTCATTTCCATTTGCATGGAATATCTTTTTCCATCCTTTTACTTTCAGTTTGTGACTGTCTTTAGATCTGAAGTTGTCTCTTGTATGCAGACTATATATGGGTCTTGTTTTTTAATCCATTCAGCCATCCTAGGCCTTTTGATTAGAACATTTAGCTCATTTACATTTAAAGTAACTATTGATAAGTGTGTGCTTCTTGCTATTCCATTACTTTTTTCTCTGGATGTTTTTGTAGTTCTTCTCTTTTCCTTTCTTCTCTTGCCCTCTTCCCTTTTGGTTTGATGGCTTTCTTTATTGTCCTGTTTGAGTTACTTTCTCTCTTTTTTTTTTTTGTATATTTATTATAGGTTTTTGGTTTGTGGTTACCATGAGGTTCACAATTAATAACTTATGTATATAGCAATCTATATTAAGTTGATGCTCTCTTAAGTTCAACCTCACACACTTTTACTCTCTGCCTGACATTTTGTGTTTTTGACATCATATTTTACCTCTTTTATTTTTGTGTATCCCTTAACCTCTTATCCTAGATATAGATGATTTTAGTACTTTTGTCTCTTGACATTTATACTGGCTTTACAGGTGATTGATTCACTACTTTTACTGTATATTTCCTTTACCAGTGATATTTTTTCTTTGATAATTTTCTTATTCCTATTTGTGGCTTTTTCTTTTGCACCTAAATAAATCCCTCTAACATTTCTTGTAAGGCTGGTTTAGTGTTGATGAATGCCTTTACTTCTTTCTTGTCTGGAAAACTCCTTCTCTCTGCTTCCATTCTGAACGATAACTGCCAGGTAGATTATTCTTGTTAGTACGTTTTTCCTTTCAGCACTTTGAATATATCATGTCACCACCTTCTAGCCTGTAAGGTTTCTGCTGAAGAGTCAGTTGATAGCCTTTATGGGATTTCCTTTGTGTGTAACTTGTTGCTTTTCTCTTGCAGTTTTTAGGATTCTCTCTTTATCTTTAATTCTTGATGTTTTCATTATAATGTGTCTTGGTGTGGGCTTTCTTGGGTTCATCTTATTTGGTAATCTGTGTACTTCCTGTACCTGGATGTCTGTTTTCTTCCCCAGGTTAGGGAAGTTTTCAGCTATTATTTCTTCAAATAAGTTATCTGCCCCTTTGTCTTTCTCTTCTCCTTCTGGGACATGTAATGCAATGTTAATACACATAATGTTATCCCAGAGGTCCCTTAGACTGTTCTTCTTCTTCTAAATTCTTTTTTCTTTTTAATGTTCAGCTTGGGTGGTTTCCTCTACTCTTTCTCCCTCTCGCTGATCTTTTCTTCTGTATCATCTACTCTGCTATTGATTCCCTCTAGTGAAGTTTTCATTTCCATTACTGTATTCTTCAGCTCTGATTGGTTCTTTTTTATATTTTCTATTTCTTTGTTGAAGATCTCACTGTGTCCTTCTATTCTTCCCCCCAGTTCTGGAAGCATCATTATGACCATTAGTTTGTACACTTTATTAGGTACATTGTTTATCTCTGTTTTGTTTGCTTCTTTTTCTGAGGATTTGTCTTGTTCTTTTATTTGGAACATATTTCTTTGTCTCCTCATTTTGCCTACTTATCTGTGCTTATTTCTATGTATTAGGTAAATCAGCTACTTCTCTCTATCTTGAAAATGTGGGCTTATGTAGGAGACGTTTTATGGGGCCCAGCACATGCTCCCCTCCCATCACCTGTGCCAAATGTTCCAGGAGAGTCCTCTGTGTGGGTTGTGTGTGCCCTTCTGTTGTGGCAAGATTGCTATTGCTGTGGGTACACAGGTAGGCTGGGCTGGCTCCAGGCTGGTTGGTTGTGAGACCCAACCATGTGTGGCTGTTGTGGGCATGTTTATTGGGTGGGCCAAGTCCCTGGCTTGGCTATTTACAAAGTCTGGTAGTACACAATTACTGTGGTTTTTCAGGTAAGCGAGTCAGGCCCTCAGTGTGGCTGGTTGCTAGGCCTGGGAGGTACACAACTATTTGTTGCAGGCTCCTGGTGTGGCTGGCTCCATGGCTCTGCTGTCCTTGGCTGTCTCAGATGCATTGGTGGGCAGGACAGGCTTCTGGAGAGACTAGTAAGTGCAGTGTGCAGCTATTGCTAGCTTGTACTTAGTTGGGGCTGGCCTCTGGTGAGAACTGGCTACATGACA